GTGCAACATCAGACGTGTTTACAAGTTATTTAATTGCCTAAAAAGTTTTGTGCTCAGAAGTTCTGTGTCTCATTCGAGCACTGATATCATCTCAGTGCTACAACGAATAACTATGCGATGATATTTTTATATCGAAACTTCCACTTGCGAACAGTTCATTCGCATTTTTTCTAATTTCTGTTGTTGCTTGTTTTTGTTTCTGTTCTGTTGCTATTTGTTAGTTCGTTGCGTTGAGATCTTCGCTTTGTTATTTTCATTCGTCTAAGTAACTTTTTAAATAAAGCAATGATTCTTATAAGTTTTTCTGGCTACAAAGTGCTTTTTATTTATTTATAACGAATATTGAATTAAAGCTCTAAGTTCAATTACTAAAAATTCTACCGTCCATTAAGTGAGTATAATTAATATGCATATTTCGAGATTAATAATTTCTACAAAAGTTCAATGACACTCGCACTTCAACAACTGCTGGATAAATGAGTCAAGTTCAAACTGATTAGCTTACCTTCTCGTTTGAGTGACCTAACATTTTGCATTTTATTTTGTCTTTGGCTTTTGGTCTTCAAATTTTTATTAAAAAATAATATAGTAATGAATTGCAGCCTGATGATGAGTGCGTCGACAAAAGTTGGAAATGTATTTTTGTGTCAATTGCTGATTATTGTCAATTAGACGACGAAATTGCTAACAATATATGTCGAAAGTCATGTGGCAACTGCAGAAATCAGCCCATCAAGAAAAAGCCCAAAATAAATAAACCTGAAGAAGGACCAGTAACACGCCAGTTACCAAAACTAACTTCTACTACCAGTATTTATACCGATAGAACGATGCTAATAACTACAGCTACTACTATTACTACTATTGTCAATACGAATATTACCGTTCTTCCCGATAAATCAGCAGAAAATACTGGTAAGTTAAAAAACAGTCACTGAAAATTACCTATGACATCTGATAATTTCAAAATTTTCTAAAACCTTGTAGTAAATAGCTCAAGTAAAATGAACAATGCAATAAAAGCACTACTTATTTTCACAACAAAACTAACCCTTTATGAGGTTTTAAAATTTGAACTTATTAAATTGCAATTCATAAAATTTGTGATTAGCAATCTTCGACGATTGCTTTCAGTTATGAAATAAGGAGTTTACGTCTACGTAATTCAGTCTACGTCAATCAAACTAACTATTACTTAGATACTTATGTAAACTGATTACTACCTAAATGCTTGTAAACTCATGCTAATTGCAGTTCAAGATTGCCATGACTTTGATGGGTCATGTGCATTCTGGGCAGAAAATGGTGGTTGTAGCAACTACTTCTTGCGAACTTTTATGAAAACGATTTGTCTTCAGTACTGTGAGTACTGTTTAGACGGTAACAGCTATGAAAGAAGCAATAAAACACCAAAAACAGCAAAACTATGCAATGACCAAGCAAGTTATATAGTATGCAAACTGGCGCTATTATTCGATGAATGTGATGAAAAAGTAAATGTGTGTGCAGAAACTTGTGGAGCTTGCTAACTGATTATTGTTCATATCTATACTTGTATACTAAAGAATTATTTCCATACAATACGAAAAACGGGTTTTGAATTGATATAGTTGCTTAAAAGTGGATTTACATAGCACTCATTTCTGTCATAGCAATTAGTGATTATTCATGAGCAAAAAATGGACCATATGACAACGCGGAAAAATTAAGATGGGTAGATTGTAAACAACACACAAAGTTTAATTGATACGAAAAAATACGAAGCCGATTTGAGTAATTTAGAACTTCTTCTTGTTAACTGCTAAGAGTAAGTTGTTCATTTTTTCATTACTGTCAGCTTTTTTAAAGTTGTATCAATGAAGAACCGAATACATCTCAGCATATGCAGAATCATTCCATTACTTTCTTTATCTCATCCAAAAATAAAAATTGAGACACTGAGCAGAATCACTATGCAACCTGTGTTCCGAATGATTGCTACTCAAGCATCCTCATGAGTGAACACCTCCTCAACTTATCTTCCACATGACTACTTCACAAATAACCATCACATCCCTCTTAATGATACAACTTGCATAACTTCGTCCACATGCAATCGTATCAACCATACTCCTGTCAGCACTTCCCATTTCCTGCTTGCTAATATCGTCATCTTTGGCAAATTACTATTAATTAATGTAGCATATATTCCCGAAACTCCCATGAGAGATTGTTTCAAGGAATTTTCATCCTCCTTTAGTAAAACACATGGTAATGAAAGCCGGATACAGACATTTTACTGTCATACTTCCACACGAACAAGAACATTTCCCAAATCCTTTTTCTTCAGAATGCTTTTGACACATAAACTGCAAAAAGATTACTATTTCAAGTCAGTATTTCTATTATTCTCAGCAGCCTATGAACAATGCATATGATATAATTTGGTAATCAATATCACAAAATTTCTTATACAATATTTACGATACGCTTATTCTTTGGGAGATGAGTCAACCGATGATTTCATAACTACATTTAATGCTTTCTAACATTTTTTAAAACAAATTAATAAAACGGCAACACAAGTTAATTACACCCATGAATACTTAAATCATATATTAGTATTCTCAACTAAACGTGATTTCCTTCAAACATTTTGCTATGAATTTTATGTCTCATAAACATCAAAACATTCAAAAAAGTACCGAACAAAAAGACTTCACTATTCCTAAATTCTATTATAATGATAACTTCAAATTTAGCAATTTTATTCCAACAATTTAATGTTAACTACAACAGGTTCCTCTGGTTGATCAAGTAATGGAGCAGCTGATTCCGTTGGTCCTGCCAATTTGGGTAATCGTTTCGATTTCGGTAAAAGTTTGCTATCTACAGGGATATTAAGCTTTCTTTTCCATTTTTCTTCAAAACTCAGAATTGTCTCCACCTTTAAATATTGAGTATTCAATTATTTCAATTTTGATAGATCAAAGGCTCAATATCAGTCGATATTACATGAGGCAGTCTTCCAATAAAATCATGCTTATTTCAATTTTCAACTATTTAGCGTGTGAACTGTAACTAATCTTATACACTACCTCCTGCGTCCATGAATAACCACTTGGTGAACCAACTAACAAATGACGTAATTTACCACCGGAATATTCGTCAAGTCGTTCAAATTCCACCAATTCCATTTCCGGCAGTTCACGTCGAATTGTGCTGAATTATCAGCACATTTAACCGTAGTTTGTGAAAGTAAAATACCTTCGAATGCAGTGAAATAGTGCTTTTTCACTTAATCTTGTGCAATCAGCAATTTCAGATCGAACAGAGGTTAAATATTAAGCCAACAGAGTTTAATGCGATGAAAAAAAAACTAATAATCAGTTTCAAAATGAGCAGTAATACAACAAAATTAATTTCTGAAATTATAATTCAAAGCAACCTTGTCATAATCGGTTTATCATCATCTGAAACAACAGGTCGTTCATTAACTCGACCAGCAACATAGAATAACCGTCCATCATCATCTTCAGCATATGCATTACCTGAAACAAACAAAAAATAAATTTCTTTACAGAGGATAATTTTAAAACTGATACTTACATATCATATTTCTCACTAAAATTGAAAAGCAGGTAACAACGATGCATAGAGTTGATTTGATTAAAATACTATCACTTCTGTTTTCCGTTTTTCACAACTTTACAAAGCTGAATCAGTAACGAAATAGAAATAGAGTTTACAGATAATTTGTAACAGAAAAAGAAAAATAGAGCTTTCACGTTCCTGCTTCATACATTACCTTTAGCATCAGTAACAACTCGATCATCTGCCAAAAGCTTCATTTCTTTTTGAAGTGATTTTAAAGCGTCTTCGTAATCAATACCAAACACTTCCAAATTAGGAATTGATTCTTCCAGTAACAAAGCTGTTTTTGCAATATCCTACAGAATTTATAGATATCAAATAAATTTAGAGCTTTAATTTATGTTTACTATTTATTGGAAACAACAATTATTTTTGAAATTAAAAAATTCTCAAAGCTGTTCGAAAATCATAAAAACGCAAGAGTGGTTAAAATTCTATTCAAAAATAAAGATAAATTCTGCAAGTTTTGGTTACATTCTCTCATTCATTCTCAAAATCTTACAAAATACCGCACATTATCAATACATTTCTCCAAATATAGCATACTATGATACAAATATACCAAACCTTTACATGACTTAGTCCTTCTATTCGGAGATAGCGCAATTTCTTAAGCGTTCTAAGACCAGCTAAACCCTTAGCAGTAATACGATCACAGTCACTGAGATCTAACATTTCAAGGGAATCAGAAAATAATGCACCGATTCTTGACATCATCCAGTCATCTGCATAACGGCATCCAGCAAGCCTTAGTAGTCGCAAATGTCTTAGATTGGATAAATTATCCAGCCCTAAACCTAACACTATACAACAAATTAAAAAAAGAATTCTAGCAGAAATAAAACCCATAGAATACAAAAAATGAACATGGCTTCCGCGAGTAAATTTCAGGAAATAGCATTTTAAGAAAATTTGAAGAAAAAGTTTCAGTTGAAAGTAAGCAAAAGTGTTGCTTGCTTACAACCTTAAAAAAAATTCTAATCAGAATCAAAAGCAAAGATGTAGATTTTATATTATCAACAACTAAAGTTGTTGAGTTAAATTTGAGAATATCACAAAATAAACTTAACAAGCGAAATAAAGCAAGTGTTAAGTTACACCCAACCAATAAATATACGAAAACAAAAAACCTCCTACAACAATATATTTAAAAAGCTCCTATAATATTCTTACAAATATATTACGAGTTAATGAAAGTTTAAATCAGAATTTCAAACAGACCTTCAAACATTAATTCTGTATCAGAGGCATCAATTGCCTCCACAAATAAGCCTGGAATTTTCCGTCCAGGCAGAGAATAGTTATCGCTTTCATCTTTTTTAATCCACAGATCGTCAGCAACAAATTTTACTGCTGCCCCACGATGGACCAAAAAATGAGCGGCTGCTAAATCCGGACCAAGGAAGAGTAAACGTTCCGGAATAAACCTGAAGAGCAATTTTTGGGAAAAGTTAAAAGAAATATTCAGACGAAGTAAAGAACTGAAATCTTTCGAATCCAATTCATTATCTGAAAATAATTTTTCCCACAGTGGTTAAAAAAATAATTCGACTTCACTTGTTTCAAAGTGCCGAAAAGAACTGTGCTTTTAGCAACAAAATACATTAAGGAAAAATGCTAGTATGTTGTGTTTGTTCATTTTTTTTCCGTTCGCTAATGCATTAAAAGCACATATTAACGAACAGATTCACAAGTAAATATCGCATTTACACACCAATAATTATTCAAAAGCTGCCAAATTTGCTGAAATTTGCATAAATTTAAATTTGTAACAGTAAGAAGACCTCTGTTAATAAGTATGATAACACTAATATTTTCTTACTCTTCTATAATGACAGGTTATGTTATGCCCTCGCATAAAATTGCACTATTATTGGCACAGATAATGCAAATCTCTCAGACAGTTTCATCAGTTATGTGCTTTGCAAATGTTGAAAGTTTTGAAGCAGACGAAGAATGTGGCCCTAACGGATACTGTTACACATTTAATTCAACTTTGTTCTCAGGATTATATTACAGGACAATACGTGCTTGCGATCACAGCTTTATATGTGAGGTGTCACTAATAAATCCTTCTCTCATTACTTGCTTTTTTTAGAAAAAATAAAACACTGAAAATTGTATTAATCTTTTAAAAAAGAAAAAAGTTATCACAAATATCTACAAAAAAGACTGCCACATCTTATTTCTAGATGGTAAAACTAATGACATAGTCGATTATCATGTAAAAACGGGATAAAATGATATGATCTACATCCTCGACAAATAATAAAATCTGACTCAAAAGATTTAAAAAATATTTCCTGGCACTGGCTAACTTAATTCTATAAAGCTAAATGAAATTTGAAAAACGTCAGACCCATTCTAACCAGATAAAGTACTCTTAAATATTACTCTGCTCGTTAATATATTACGAAAAAATATTAGTGAACATTGACATGCAAATGTCACACTTATACAACATAAGTTTGACATTTGCATATGAATCTGTCCGTTTCAGGATTTCTTCGTGATTTATATGTATTTAAATGATATAAGTGATATATTAAATACATATAAATAAATCACGAAGAAAATCCTTAAACTATTAAGAATTAATATTTAATGCTTATGATGATGCGTTCCATCAAAATCAAGTCTTGACTATTTAAGATAATGGTTAGTAACATTACGGCTAGTGACGGGAAATATGCAGCGGGTAAATTTGAAGATGTGTTTGGATTCCCAAGTTATTGTGCTGATGACATAATGTTTCGACCAAAAGGTGAGGAAATAATCACAGGTAGGCTCTGCTGCTGCAACATCGATTGGTGCAATGTAAATCATCCAAATGAATCTATGAGTGATTATGAGAAGATTAAGCTTCTCGATTCTGGTACCATGGAAGACTACAGAACCTTACAAGAAATTGCAGAAAAATATGATATTTATTAATATGATATTTATCTTTTCTAAATAAAGAATATTGCATAGAAATTTTCGATTTTTGTTGTTTACGATTTGAAAATCTTGTTAAACTGTCTTGGCATAAAACTGATTTATTAGGCTATGTAATGGAAATTTTAAACACCGATAAATCACAAAAAAGTCCTTTAATTGTTATGAACAAATATTCAGTCTTTATGATGCCCTTCACATAACCAGCAAATTTGTATGTATTTAATAAGAAAAAATCTCCGTGCTAAATAACGGTAATTTGAAATAGTTTCCTAATATTTTTACAATTTCCAAACACCTACTACTTCATTCTAATTAAACAAATTATTCGCTGTAAAGTCAACAAAGCTGCTCAGTGTAATCAGTGAGAGAAGGTTCAAAAAGATAATTACCTTTGGTCATATTGAAGATGCTGAAAATGCTCATAACGCTTAAAACGGCGTAAATTGTCCAAACTATGATCGACATATCGAAGCTGAGTGTAAAATGTGTTGAATTCGATATCATTTCCAACGTCCTCTACCTGCTTCTTTGGGAGTACTGAAAATTTTACATCATCATTCCCTATTATAGTTGAAATTTGTAATTATTAATCACTACCTGCTTGAGCTGCAGCAAACATTTAGCGAAAATTTTCACTAGTCATACCATAACTTAGCATACAAGAGTTACTGTCATTGATATTATTTATGAGAAATTTCCAGTCAGCTTTTTCCAGGAAAAAGTAAACTTTATAACCTTATTAGAATTTCGATACAGCATCTCAATCTGTATAAAACTAACTTACTTCAGCAAACTGTGACACGCCACATGTCAGCAGGCAATTAAATGATACAGATAGTTTAGTCTGCTTGATTTACATTTAAGTTAGCATAAATAAAGTAACTACTTAGCAAACTAAAACCAAACAAAAATAACCATCTTCAATTCGTTCTGGTGAAATATAAGCACCGTCACCCACTTTCAAGAAATTTTTGATGGACTTTTCAACTTTCTTATCCTCAATTTCTTCGGCTACTAACTCTTGCCATCGAATAAATTTGCTCCATCGATGGATAAAGGTACGTTTTTGACAGTTCAAACACCAGGAAACAAGTTTACCAACTTGACAAACACTACCCATTCCCCGACTATTAATCGTTTCCCCGCCTTTCTCCTGTCAAATCTAAACAATCTAATTTTCTGAAGAAACCATTTCCCAATAATCTTTAAAACTGTAATAATCTAAAGTCTACAAGACAGAGAGTCTAGTCAAAACATAACTCACTGTTCAAATTCTAGATGCATTGTCTTTTGGATGAAAGAACCAAATTGCGGAACACAAGGCAAAATTCAAATAGTTCATTTCCTCATTTTTTACAGATTATGCGATCAAAGTAGTAACAACAAACACATTACAACAAACTGAATATACAGGGGCGACCGCTTTATGTATCTTCAAGATCAGATGCCATTTGAATCCTATCCTACACAAAAATTCAACAAATACGATACAAGAAATCTACTTTACTGTATTCAGTGAAAACAAATCAGGAATATGAAAAATGAGTTGCTCAAAAGATCAAAAACGTCACTTTATAAGGCTTTCAAGATATAATAATCATTCTAAAATGCCAGTAAATACACTACTGCTAGTACATAACTTAAAAGAGTCTAAGGACAGTCGTACATAACAGATCTGAAGTAGACATGAAAAAAGTTCAGAAATGTCACTGACATCATTCCTGTATGAATTAGACAATGTTAGTACAATAATATGAGAAGGGAGTGAATGACAGCAGTGATCAAGAATTGAGATCATGCATTATATAAAATCAATAGATAAGTATAAAAATAATGACATGAGCGGTCATAAATCAGACAAAAAGAACCAACAAGGTTGAAATAAAAATATTCAGGACCAAACAGTGAGACGAAGAAAAACTGAACATCTAATCCAGTTTTATGCAACTGAAGTAAATGATAAACAATCACAAGATAACTGGTTAGCCTATAACCACAATCTACATCGAGAAAATTGAAAGTAGTTCAGTAATATCAGTTATGAATATTCATATTCTCACATGTTCTTTTGCACATAATTTTTGTTTTTATCGTTCGTAAATATTTTTTCGAAAAACAATGGAAAAAAATTCATACTATGTTCATAAGGATCAAAAAGACGATCGAGTTCTCGAAACCGTCTTCACTAGTGTGAAAGCACCGATACCGAAAATCCCGAAAATTACCAAGACTCTTACTGAGAACCACCAACAACTGCAATGTGATTTCAAACTAACTCGTTCCTTTTCTTCAATCTCATTTTTTTCAATGATTTTCTTCACACGATCGAAAAAACCTCCCTGGAATCAATAAAACACAACTTAAGCTAAATCTGAATGTCTCATACAAAAATTTTACCCATCACGCATAATTCTTTCTTACGTGAATAGTCGCCAATTCATTCTAAAAAATTAATCCTAATACATATACCTCGGCACATATATAGCAGCGATTGGACTAAACCCTGAATCATATAAAAAATCGTTGCAAAAAAATTTCCAGTCAATGAATAAAATGAATTGATTCTACAATTGCTTACTGAAATTTAAAGTTATATTTAATATGAAACATTTCTAAAAAATTTGCAAAAAGAGAATTCACACACCCACGAACGCCTATTTTGTGTCCATGTCAAAGCAATTCGCTTGTGCAAAAATTTTGATGTGTATGATGCTATCATGGAAATTTCTTGGAACTGCTGCATATCACAGAGTGTGACAGCAACCATTCCAGCAAATGCAATTAAAGCTACTAATCGCCCATATGAAAGCTGTTCGTCTGACTCATCATCATTAATTTGCGTAAAACATTCAACAACCTGTAGATTTAAGTGACTGGGAAACACATCGTTAATGACAACTGAGATGTACATCTACATCAAAATAAGATGAAGCTCGATACGTTTTCATATATACTTAAGTTTGCAGTAAAAAAAAGTAATTGATACCTGATTCGTTTAACAGAAATTGATCTTTAAATGTACTGAGTTTAAGTAAAGACTCAAGTAGCAAACTGCGAACATATATTATCTTAAAATTAAATGCTTTTCATATTTGCATGTGAAAAACGAATAAGAATGAAGTTTTAAAATATTCACTTCTACATATCGTTGAAATGTAAGCCTTTTATGACGACATAATGAAGCAACCATGTTTTTGAGCTCATCAGCATGTTTTTTTTCAAAAATTAAAGCAACCATCCGCATTAAAACAAACTGATGACTTTGGAACACGGGAATCTCTAGGAACGTTGGATAAGAACTGTTATACATGTGCACACGATACTGAATATAATCAGTAACATAATTCTGAAAGCCGATAAAATGCAATAAACGACATCTAGTAAAATAAGTACTAATTTTATAGTAAGTACTAATAGAATTGACTCTCTACAATTCAGGCTATGGCTTCTAAGTCATGAGAAATTTCTGTACAGAAATGATCTCTATGCAAATTTCACCCCAGATTTTTTGGAAACCACATTGTGAAACAAAATATCTTCAACTGATCCTATCCCTGTTCCTTCAACAATTATCCTGATACTCTTTATCAAATCCCTTGAAAAGAAATTACTTGTATGGTATAAATCTCTTTGTGAGGATTCAGCATTCCCATAACTGCATTATTATCACACTTATTCTTTACTGTTACTAAATCAACGCCATTCATTGCCCTAAAAATGATTTCATTTTAACAACTCAACATAAAAAGGAATTACACAAAACGCGTATTACTCGCATAGTAATCTATGTTATAAAATGGCTGCAATTTTACCATCATTATCAGTTATACAATGACATTTATCATTAACATTTCCTTGAACTATTGAATAAAACCTGGATTCAGCAAGACATATCATTCAAAATCATAACAACCATAAACAGATGTTTTTGTAATCATTTCAATACAAAGGCGATGCTGTCAAAAATCTTAAAATAACAGCTACATGATAGAGGAGTTCAATTACATCGAAGAACTATCAAATACTTGAACTGATACACTACTGCTATAAATTGATCAGTAAAAAGAAGTTTTCTTCTTGGAATATGCAATTGAATGAGGATAAAAATCAATTAATTAATTTAAAGAGGCTGTGTGCAATCATTCGGATATCGATAGATTCTATTCCAAAAATAAGAGAAAAATGTAACACTAAAATCTTTTGAACTAAAAAATGAACCTTCAAAAATGAAGCGAGAATTACTTCTGGATAAAATTCAAGTTCATATCTTACGTCCAATATGATGAAGTTGCGTAATCACACAAAACTTACTGATTTGATTGAAACTTGGGAAGCAACCTATATATTGCTGCAAAAGCAAAGAATTCGAAAAATAAATATGAACTTGAATTTAGAACTGTTGTTCTCAACAAAACTTGAAAATTTTGCGTCAAATAAAATTTATAGCTGTTTCACTACATTCGATACATGAGTCAAAGTCAAAAAACACTAACGCACATAAAATCGAAAGTATTTAAATTCTGCTTAACAAAATAAAAAAAGAAAAACTGCATAAGATATTGTTTAAAAAGGAGCACTGCAACTCTTATACAATATTAACTGGTTACAAATTCGAAAATTCTTCTACGCTATAGCTCCAGCATAAACAGTTCAAAAAAATTAACTTGTGGCAAAATATGAAGTAAAAGAGGAAAATATGGTCAAACCTAATCGAGCATGCAAGGTATATTTGTTCTCCAACTTATTTTAGTTTAATAAAAATAACACACAAAACATTTACTGGTAGATAAACATGAATTTAAACAAAGTGCCAAAACTATGCAGCTTACACTAAAATAACCAATTTCAAGACTACTGATTTTCATTACCTCTTATTTTTTGATTCAATTCGATCTTGCTAGTCTTCAGTGTTAATAATCGTTCTTGAAAAAGCAGAAAAGTTCTCCAAAATTTTACTCTATCCAATACAAGTTTTCTGAATCAGAAGAATTTAGAAACGATTATAAAGTAGCCTTAAAAAAACACTTATGACTCTACACTTTTAATACAACAAAAGCCTTTCACTGAAGCCATTATTTACTATCTTCCCCACGTTCTCAATGCATCATTCCCACATTAAAAAATTTGAAGCTGACGCTGTTGCGTAAAAAATCCTGTCATTACGGAGACAACAAAAGCATATAATTCTTAAATAATTACCTTGAAGATTTTAACAGATTAGAGTGCCTACAACACAATGAAACCACCACCACAGCTGTTTCGAATGTTGTTACTGTAAAAATTAGAAGCCAAGGACCGCAAATGACCTCAACAACACAACCAAGATGTATGCAAATCCAAATCAAGCATAAGCAGCTATAAAACCGATCATATTCCAAATTCTGGAAGAAAAGCAGCACATACGTCATTGGCATACTACAATCTTTCCCGTAATTACATTATCAAGTGCTTATTGCCTGTAAAAAATTAGCTTCCTTCACAGTTCCATGTATTCAGGAAAATATTTATTGCTTTTGTAGCAGATAAAAAAGCTAAACAATCTAAAACAACACCGAAAACAAATTTATTTTCACACACAGTAAAAACAATTTACAAATTACATCGTCGCAAACACAGGACGGGACAGTCGAGTAAAATATATTACTGAAGTCGCACTTTTTTAAAGTCATATATTCTATGTCAAAGACTAAAATATATTCTACATAAAATTGATGAAAAAACTTTAATTTTTGCAAATTTCTATCACTACGTGACTATCCAGGAAAAATTTAAATTTACAATTTACACGTACTGAATAAGAACAATACTAATCGTTTGAAAATTTCATGAATACATGATAAAGTATAAAATACTTATCCCTCAAAAGTAATTATCATTATAAACTCTGAAAAACTAATTTAGCTTAATTTTCCAAAATTCATGAAGCTATTTCTTCTTTGGTTCATCCACGATTACGTAACCACGCTGCTCCAATCGAGGTACCACTACCAGCGCTAACGAAATTAAGATGGCTAATCCAACAACGAAATATCCGCTTCGATAAACAGAAGCAATATCCGTACCCTTAGCTAGGTCAAAGCCAATAAAACGAATACCATTTAGCGCATGATAAATTATTGGGAACGCAATAATAAATTTGAATGCATCATATACGACCCACGGCAGGCTGAGGCCTCGAACAAAATCAACAAACGTGGTGAAATCTAACGGTAAAAGTGCAAAACCAACACTCCCAATCAATAAAGTACCTGGAATACGACCAAGATATACGACTTAGAATACTTATAATGGCTGAAAGAAGAATTTCTAATTTCCTCACATCACCTTCCTTCAGAGATGACAATTTAGCACTTTTTAAAGAAAAAACATGCGAGTGGCATTTTCATTACGGATATTTTCAGTGGCTTTTCATTCTATCTCCTCTTTAGAACGACGTATGACAAACAAGTTATGGCCTTATGTTGCTTTAAGAATATTTTATGCAAGTAATGCATTTCTACAACAAAAACGACAATCAATGTGAGCAATAAGCATACTTTAGTAAAATTCAGAACACATCCTATATTCAGGACCATGTCAATAAAGGTAGAGTTTGGTTCATACTCTTTTGTGAGTTGTCTCACTGCAGAGACAATTAATAAATAATTTTGATGTGGGAAATTTACCAGCCATGACAGATCCTGTTATACGATGTAATCCAGAAAGCATCCATGTTAGCTGTGGTTTGTAAACAGTGAGATGTGGACTAATTGGTCGCTTTAAAGCCCGTTGTCGCATGAGATAATTCCAACCCCATTCCTGAATCGGAGTCTTTGTTGAATACCGTGGTACGCAAGTTTGTACTGATTTTAGGATCTGAAAAGCACGGTTAAAACGCACTTCCTTTGCTTTAGTTATTTCTTATTATCTAACAAAAGATATCATGAAGGTTGCGAATCTTCTCAGTATCGTCAGACGGTATCCAAACTTTATCTAAATTTACATATAAATATTTGACAAAAGATTACAGATTACAAACAACTAAAAATTACCAAAGACAAGAGATGTCTAATAAAGAGGAGGCTGATAAACCTAAGATTCTATTCTCAATTCCGTTATTTAAATAGAATTAAACCTGAAAGTTTCGTGACAAAGCACGGCACAATGCAGCATTCTTGCACTGAAGAAACATGTCCACCTAAAAGCAACGAATTTTTTAGATGGTCATTATTTTCTTTCATATATAATTTCCTACAGCCGGCGACGATAAATCAAAGATTACATGACAACGAACAGAACAGTAACAGCGTTAACTCTAACAGCATAGATTTATTTTCAGAACTGCAGAGAACTCAGCCAGTATCAAAACTAAGATGAGTGATAAATAAACAACGAACATAGTTACTGAAATAAACTCAATAAACTTCAAACGATAAGACGACCTGCTTCACGTAACATACAAGTAACATTGGATATACTACTCAGGTACAATACTTTTGTAACAATAAATGAGAGGAAAAAACATGGATAAAAAATCCATATTAAATAAACACATGAATAGCGACCCCCAGCGTGACTATGCATATTCACGCATACATATGTGACACAAAGTCGTGTCGCACAGGGGTACCTACGTTTGCGACCATTTCCGTGTACTGAGTATACGATTTGAACGTGTAGGGGTGAACAAATATCCCAGAAAAGTGAGAGAAAGAGGCAAAAGCAAACATCACGAACAAGTACATCAGAATGTTTGAGAGTAAATAAGTAAATATAGAAATAAGAGAGAGGAGGAAATGAAACAGTCAATAAGGAACAAAAGACGTTCAATAGCCCAATGAATTCTCAATGGATCAATATATAAATTGAAGAAGTTTGTGCAGCGTAGAGGGAATAAAAAGAAAACGAAATCCTACCACATTCAAATTAAATACAGTGCTATTTCAAGTGGTTATCCGTAATGCTGCGTTTGAGAGAAATGGTTGGTTGCTCTTTTGGTTCATTGAGGTAAAGACCTCAACGGTGCTGAGCGAACGACTAGGTTAACAAATTCCATCTAGGAAACAGCTTGATTCCCAGAATGTTATTGGATAGAAACACTGGTAGATGCTGGTATTCTGTATCCGTGTTCGTACCTCATCTCATAACTCCGAACTATTCCCACATAGATTAGGGATTATGTGTGTTAATCTGTACAACGGAAATTGCTTTTAAAATGAAAAGTTGCTTCTCATACTTGCAGTCCGTGAATTTACAGACGACAGTGTCACTGCTTATCAGAAACAACTTGAATCTCTCACTCCTAATGTTGTTGAATAGAAAGACTGATGGATGTTGATATTGCAGTAACAGCATAATAGCTATGCAGTGGAGAGGTGAATTAGGAAGTGATGTATTACATAAATTGAGATGAGTCAAGTTTGATAAGAAAGTGAAACTTGAAGAGTCAAAGAAAAGTAGCATTGCACGAAGGAGGAGAGCAACATGTGAAGTCGGAATTCCGGAGAAGCAGTTCTAGAAAGAACTGGAAACATTCAGCTCGGTTCATGCACATTTTACGACCTCAGCTACTTACTCAAATTACAGAAACTTCCACACAAGACTATAGGCTTGAATCAATGTAGTAACATTGAGAAGTTGCTCCTCAAGCGGGAAATTGCTTTTCACACGTGTCTCCGTGAATTTATGCTTCAATTTATTGAAATATGTAAGAAAATGAGAACCATTGCTGATTATGCAAATTCTTTGTATCCGTTAATACCTGTCAGTTTCCAAATTCATTCACGACTGTATTTTATTGTTTATTGAAATTATTTTAATATACTTTAATGTTTATTCGCAGGATGAAAAAGAAGAATGTGAAGGTGAGAAAGGTCGGTAAGTCATTACTTACTTCGGTCGAAACGGGTGCAGGCAGTTATATTAATCCAGGAGACATCAGCAATGCACTTTTACTGCCAGCCAAAGTTAAAGTAAGCTCGCTTCTCGAAATATGCAAATCATAGATAAGGATGAGTGAAACTTAACAAAGATAGACTTTTCTATTTCAGCTTGTTTCAGTTTCTATCACTGCTGTGATCAACTATGTGCTTTAATATTTCAAATTTCATTAAAGAAAAAAAAAGTGAAGAAAGAGGATGCAATTAATCGCAAGAAAGCAGAGGCGAGGAAAAGACGAATTGAAGAAAAAAACGCCAAAGTATCAAGAACTAAAAGGAAAAAATTGATGAAGATATTTGAAAGGAAAAAGGAAAAAGAATCGGTGATTTTTGTGGAAATTCTTAAAGCAGTTCTAAATAAAAGTCTCATGGGAACCGTGTTTTTTATTTCTGAGTCAAAAGTTTTTGACTCTACAGTTTAGGGTTTTTTTGTAATTTGTTGATTTCTATTTTAGTTGCTCATTTCATGTGCTTGGATTTTTCCAGAAGGAATCACTTCTAGAAAGATTGAAGGAATATCAGCTGCCAATGGAAGTGATGAACAAGATAGCGAAGAAGATTGATGCTAATAAGCATAAAAAGTATGAGTTATTTTTTTATGATTTCGCATCGTTTTCGAAGAAGGAATTGAGGTTTTGGGAATGGTTTATTCTTTACTATGTTGTTCAGCGATCAGTTTTGTATACATTCACACCTTACTATAAATTATATGATTTAGGTCAGAAGAAAGTTTCATACCAAAAAAGTTATCAGTTCTTGCTGGTCGCGAAATTATCTCATCCATGGAATTAAAACAACCAGTACAAGAAAATTACTACGAAACAGATAGTGAGAGTGAAGATGATGTTATGATTTCGAATGAGGTCTATATTGATCGTCTAGCTTTCTCTTAATACATTGTGTTATTTTTGATAGTGGAATAATGAAAGTCAAGTATTATTTAACGTTGATTGTTTCATGAGTGTTAAGTTTTCCAGTGTGCTGTAACAAACATAGAGTCCATGCAGCATAAAACGGTCAATAATGAGAAACAAAAAACTGATACTTTCCTAGAGGATTTAGCAGAAGATTCAAAAAACTCAGTGAACTCATCACTTTTTGCCGACCACAGAATGGGAGATAATTCAGATCCTGAACATTGCCAACGATTGCATTCGTTTGGTATTTTATTTTGTTGAGTAATGCAAAATATAGTTTTTGTAATTTCCAGATTTTGAACGAGGAATTTCAGTATTTTATTTTAAAGATAAGTATTATAGAACCAAGCACATCGAAATTTGGTGTTGCCTGCAAGCCCGTTAAATCCCCTTTATCGAAACAAGAATCAGTGAAGAGAGATGTTCGAGGAAGTGGTTTTGTTCCAGTGGATCGCTGTAAAAGTGTCGAATTACAGCGTTCAAAGCTACCAATATACTGTGAAGAACAAAGTATTATGGAGGCCATTAGTGATAATTCTGTATGTTAATAGAAGTACTAGCTTTTTAGTAAACGGGATTAGAAACATGAAATATTCAATTTGTTTTAATAGTTATTTTCCTCCCATGTTGTGCATGAACATATCTTTTTCACAATTTTAGACAACAATCATTTGTGGTCAAACTGGGTCTGGAAAAACTACTCAATTGCCTCAGTTTTTATTTGAAGCAGGTTATGCTCGTGAAGGTAAACTGATAGGAATAACTGAGCCACGACGATTGGCTGCCATTAGCATGGCAGCACGTGTTGCACATGAAATGAATTTACCAAATGCTGTCTCGTATCAAGTATGATTCTGCTAAATTTTTAAATCAGGGTTTCTAATTATTGCATGAATAACCAAGATAATATCAATACTGATAAACTGAACAAATCACGATTGATTATTGTTGTTCACATATAGTATTGTTTTCAATTAAACAAAACATTGTGGTTGTTTAGTGAGCGCAATATATGTTCTACGTAGTGAACTAAATTTAGCATTTATTACTTTTGTGTTACTTGGGTCGTAAACACAAAGCTGAAATTAATTTTAGATAAAGTATGAAAGTAATCGGTCTTCAGAGACTTCAATTTTATTCATGACTGATGGCGTACTTATGCGAGAGATGCAGAAAGATGTAGTGTTGTCAGCTTATTCTGTTATCATTATAGGTGATTTGTTATATTTTAAAATGGTTCTCAAAAATCAACTAATCAGTGTGTATTTTAAACTTTATTGAAATTGAAAATTATATTTGGTTCCATTTATTCCAGACGAAGCACATGAAAGATCCATGTATAGTGATGTACTTATCGGGCTGCTGACACGTGTAGCACCATATCGAGCTCGTATAGGCTGTCCATTGAAATTAATTATAATGAGTGCAACTTTGTGTCTTGACGATTTTAAGCATAAACGGTATATTAATATTTTCATATATCTCAGACCATTTTCTTTCTGCATTCTGGTATTCATTATTTTATCGTTTAATTTTATATAGTTTTCAGTCTAGCATTTTACAGACTTTTTCCAGTCTCGGTACCACCCGTTTTGAATATTGACACAAGACAATATCCGGTAAATATTCATTTTGAGAAACGTACACCAGAAAATTATCTTACTGCGGCATTTCACAAAATATGTAAGATTCATGAACAAAAAGGTCCTGGAACAATACTTGTGTTTCTTTCCGGAAGGCTTGAGGTATTGTTTCAAATATCCAGGAAATTTTAAGGGATGAGTCATATTTTTGTATTAGACCTTATTTTGCTAGTGACTAAACTTATTTCTTTATTTATAATTTGGACAGCTGAGTTTCTTTTTATTTCAGGTTAAAACACTTCTGAAATGGCTCGTGCAACGTTATGAAATCAGGTTGTATTATATTATCATGAACCTTAGTTTTGAAGTTATTTGTAGAAAGTCATGCATACTGTCAAATATTTGAGTATTGATCTTTCTCACTATCAAGGCCGAAAAGAACTAGGAGAAAGGAAGTAGTTTCAAGTCAGAAAAGTCAACGAGAATCGGGAAGCAAATTTCCTCAAAAACTGACGAAAGCTGAGGATACTGAAGATGAGGAATTAAATGATGATAGGTTTGCCGATGCTGATAATTTAGATTGCATCGATTCTGATTTCGAAGATAATAATATGGTTAGTTATTGCTTAAAAATTCTTTTTCGAAAGACATACACTTTAATTTTTCTTCGTTTGTCGCTAAAATTTTTCATTGTTTTTTTTTCAGAATCGTATTAAAGATTTTTGTGCACGAAATCCGTCTTCTCCACTTTTTTGTTTGCCGTTGTATTCCTTACTTTCTAGCAAAAAACAGCAACGTATTTTTGAGCCAGTACCAGATGGTCACCGGTTCGTATTTTATTCATATTTCAGTAATTAAACAGCAGCAATATTTGGCATGTCATATTTAAGGACTCCATTTTTTAGAATGTGTGTAATAGCAACGAATGTAGCTGAAACATCACTTACAATTCCTGCCGTTAGATTTGTTATTGATAGTGGACGTGAAAAAAAACGCTATTATGATCCCGTCACCGGTGTTTCTCAGTTTCTTGTAAGCTGGATATCTCAAGCTTCAGCTAATCAAAGAGCTGGACGAGCTGGGCGCGTTCAGCCGGGTGAAGTTTATAGGTATGTATCGGTAGTCATTTGGTTAAGAAACTGTTTTTTCATGAAAGTCATATTTTTATCATTTTTAGATGCAGTTAAGGTGCTTATTCTGTAAACTTTGGTTTTGTTTAGGCTTTATTCCTCTGCAGTTTACTCTGATCTTGAAAAATTCACTCCACCAGAAATTTTAACGAAACCAATCGACCAGCTCGTGCTCCACCTTAAATCTATGAACATTATTAAAGTTAGCGATTTGGTTCATAAGCCATAATAACCTTTTAATTTAGAGAGCTGTTTTTGACACCTCATGTTTAAGGTTGCAAATTTTCCTTTTCCAACACCACCCGATAATGATTCGTTACAAGAAGCCGAAACTCGTTTAATTCGCTTAGGAGCTTTGCAAGTGACGATGGAAAAAAATTTGGTCAGTTTGTGCAATCGTGCGTTTGAATATCTCTAACTTTTTCTTTCAGTTTCAGTTTGAATTGAATTATATATGTTTGTGCGCTTTGTTCCTCAATGAAACATTAAAATGATGAACTCAGCCTTCTCTATAAATTTCTATTGTTTATATTTGTCGTGACTTCCAATTTCATTATGTGTACGTTTTTATTTGAGTTTATTTTAGAAAGAAGCACGAATTAGTCCTCTGGGAAAAACATTGTCAATTTTTCCACTTGCACCAGCTTTTGCCAAAATGCTGGTCATGGCAAACCAGTATTCTTTGATGCCTTATGCTTGTTGTTTAGTTGCCGCTTTATCTGTTCGTGAACCTCTCATTTCACTTTATTCATTAAGGTCTTTTTTTTAATTTTAATTTTGGGAATAATATGATAATTAGAAGCTTTTCCAAATCTTAGTGATTTATGTTGGGGATAGCTTTTTTTCAGAGGTGAAAACGCGCAGGAAACACAGAAATTGATGCTCGAATCATTAAGGCAAAGGCGAGCATGGTGTCCAATTGGGCAGGCTCGTAATTTCGGCGATCTAAACGTTCTAATGCGAGCCATATTGTCTGTTCAGTCATCAAAAGTATCTTTTTTCGGGAAATAAGTTGAATGGCACGTGTATTTTGAACTTTGAGCACTATTTTTAGGTATCAGAGGACGAATGTCAGCGCTTTGGAGTTCGTCACAAAGCACTTATCGAAATTCGAAAGTTATGGCAACAGCTTGCTAAAATCATCAATTCAAAGTGTAAACCGGAAAAACCACTCACAGTTAATTTGGATATGAAACTGCTCACTGATGAAGAAATGCTAAAATTAAGGTAAGTGCAAAATGAGACACCTCAAGTTTCACTGGAATTTTGAACTATAGTTCTAATTTTTTGAATCTATTGTGCTCATTCTTTTCAGACAAATTGCAACTGCTTCGCTTACAGATAACATAGCTAAGAGAGTTGATCCAGTTGCTGGTGAAAATGTACCTAAAGGTGCATATTATTCCCAAAAATTAAAGGTTTGTTTCAAATTTTTGTGATTGAAATATATTTACAAAAATGATTTTGCATAGTGTTTTTTTCCAGGACTATATTTTCATTGATCCTGGTTCAGTGTTGTTCAAAGATGAGCCAGATTGGGTGTTGTATCAAGAAATCGTTGAAGTAAGATACCTTATTTCACTTTTAACCAATCTCAATTCTGGAAAAAGTAATGGCAAAAAAATACCAAGCAAAGTTACTTAATTTTTTTTAAATTGGTTTATAAAACCTTTCATGTATGATAGACTAAAATCTAATCTCATTTATTTTTCAATTTTTCAAGCGAAAAGGAAAGAAATGTATGCAGAACATCATCTGCGTTGACGAAAATTGGCTGCCGCGATTGGCTAACACGTACTGTCACTTCAAACCAATTAAGGATGCTGAGCCACGGTAAAAAAAGCCTTAATATCGCACTGAAATTTGTGATTTATTCTATAATTTATTGTCCTTTAAAATTTAAGAAATTTGAAATCGTTATTATTTTCAAATGCTTGGTTATTTGGTACAAGAGTTATATTGTATTCGAAGTTCAGGTATGATTCGGCTACTGATAGCATTGTAATTTTGATGGAAGGTTCATTCAGTGATCGGTGTTGGCCCTTGGGCAAAGTAGAACAGCCATTGCCTGTCAATATTAATCTTTATCGATATTTCGCTCAATTTTTCCTTGATGGTTCAGTCTGTTTGCCTTTAGCACAGTTTGCTGACAAGCTGCTTCTTTCGCCATGTATCATGACAAAGCCATGGGCTAAATTCCAATCTCGAACAGAAAATCTTTTGAATGCACTAATCGAACATGAAGTAATAATAGCATTATTTCTAGCAATAATAGTAATGTTTATTGAAATTTCATGTTTAATTATGCCATAATAGCACTATGCACTTTCAATGAATATCGTTTTTACATTTAGGTAGTAAGTCGGGCACGTTTACTGGAAGTGTGGAAAAATAAAAGCGAATACTTGTTAGATGAGTATCTTGAATGGCTTCCACAATTCTTACATGAAACTGTTCAACTAAGTTGGCCACCCAACCGTTGAATCTTGAAAAATCATTTCGTCGTTATTTGCAAATATTTTATTCCTTGTATTATGAGGTTTGAAATGATTGAGTAATTGAATTTATGTGGTCTTGCATGTCATTGTTTATTATGATAAAAAATTGATCAGTTGAAAGAGCCTCAGTTTCTAATTTCTTGCATTATTTGATGTTGCTGTTTAAAATATCATGCATAATATCGTCTTGAAACTTTTGAGTTGTTTGAAAGCCTAATGTATAGAATTCAATTAGTGTTGATAAGGAGTCTAAGATGTTAGATAGACTCTTTTGGTAGATAAGCTTTGTTATTACAGGGTCGTAAAAATCGGTTCTTTAGGTGATAGGGTTACATTCTTTGAACTCTTAGAAACAATATGTTCTTTGAACTTCGATTGTAATCTAAATGCTGGGAAATTGATTTTTATGCTTGTGCATTTAAAGCATATTTTTCAGAGATAATATAAATGTCACTAGAACGTTTGGGAGTTTTTGAGAACACTGATTCTTGGATTTTTGATTGGGATGCAGCGGCTGGTGTGTTGCATGGTACTTTAAATTCAAGGAAATCAAGCTTAAGTATAAGTTTATCAAAGGATAGCAGAATTCTTCAAATTGTGGATGAATTTCTAACTCTATTTTCGAAGTATTTTTAGCATTTAATTATTGTTCTATTTATTTTACTAAGCGAAGCAGCTCTCCTGGGAATTCGAAATACAGAAAATTAGAGGCCAAATTGATCTGATTCCAGAAATGATGATAATTTGTGGGAGGTATCTGGTGGATTTAAATATCAAGGTCGGGAAGAAGAATTTGAAGATATAGTTACGAAAGTTTACACTGCAGTTTTAATGCTTTTCATGAGATTTTCTACTGAAAGGAAACAGGTGCTATATTTTGCTTTTATTTTATCGAAAAATATTGAGATTGACAGCAGATGTGTTTTTCAAATCGAGTGGTGAAGATTTTAATATTCATATTTTTGTAAAAATCTGAAATACAAAAATTTGTTCACAATCCATATTTACTTCCTGAAAAGTGCCTTCATTGAGGGATTATTAGATCGTAGTTTTTAATTTTAAATATGTCATTCAGAGTAAAATACCACAGGTTTTTTGTATGAGCTTAATTTTTTGTGATTTTATTGAATACAGTATTTCAGTTAAAGAGGGAACTAAATCTATTCAGTTTGAATCGATTGTTTCTAGCAATTAAAATCTTCAAAGCATCAAATCAAGAAGTCCTCGAGAAAATTATCTTGGAGGCTTTTAAAATGAAGCATATTACAGAAGATGCTATCGCTGAATGCATGAAAAATATGGAAAAAGTATTGCTAATAGTGTTTATTTTTAAAACATCGATTTTCAGAAAGATATGTAGTTATTAGTCTTTCAAACAAATAATAGAAGTTAAGTCAGTTTATGGCTAATGAGCATCAATAGCGTTTTCATTATAGTTCATCAACTTATTCAATCAGTCATCAACATAAATTAGCATTTGATTACAATATTTCTCTAGTTCAACAAAGGGCTGTTAAAATGAGCCAGGTTATAGAAACTGGTGGCTGATTGCAAAGAAATTGATATATATGTTGCATTTTCAAGAGATCATGCCGAGAATGCGAAACGGATTTTAGAAAAACACGAAATTTCTATTGAAGCTTTAGCTACTCTGTTACCTCTGTTGCCAAAGCATCATTCTTTGCATTCTTACTTCTATGGATTTGTCAATAGGTGAATTTTAATGTTTTTATTCTTTCTTATATCTTTCCTTTTTGAAGTTAGGCTGACGACATTCAAC